GACTTTTGACTGTATGTGCTTAGTATATGCAACTTGAAGACATAATTATCATACAGTCAGGTGTAGTGTTCTCACTAAGGTACTCATGCTAGAAAAGCTCATGAAAAATGCTTGCAAAGAGGTTCTAATTAAAATCTAACAAATTATTAGCTGGTCACTTTTGAAGCTATATATTTCTCTATTCCTGATATTTGGTAACACTGGCAAAATAAATCAAAAACCTCTTAATCACCTGTCATAAACTGGCAGTTGCATCATTTTTGATGGATTCAGTTGTCTAAAAACATTGACATTCTAGTGCAATCATCATAAGAAAGAATAGCAGAGGATAAGAAAAAAGTCTAGAAAATGCAAATAGTTGATGCATGACAGACACTTTTTTTTAAAAATACAATGTAGCTCCTTTGCTTAAAATATGATATGGCACCTTAATAATAATAAAAATCAGTTGACAAATATCTTTATTTGCATTATAACACAAAATTACTTCCCTGTTGTAGGAAGATATCATTTCATAGATTTCTTTTACAGAGAGAATAAATATAAATATCTTTTACAGATAGTCAAATTCAATTATAACAAACTTCATGTATATGACATGACATTTCTGTACAGATTTTGAACACAGGAGTATCACAATAACAGATATGACATATTTGTTTCTTCGGCTGATTTTGGAATATGGTAACTGGTAGTTTGGCGACATTTTGGAGGCGATAAAGGTTACTACTTAGGACTTTGGTAATAATGTGAGAAGCACTCAGTTCCGATTACGCATTATTTTGTGTGAGGGAAATGAGAGATCATGAGATATGTCATGTGACATTAATGGACGAATTACAGTTGTTTAATCGGAAAAGGGGGGAAATCTGGAAATTTCGTATTTAGCTATATTCTGTGTTGTGTGAAACGTGACATTAATGGACGAATTACAGTTCTTTAATCGGAAAAGGGGGTTAATTTGGAAAAGCTTCATTGTGTGTTGTGTGAAATAGTGTTGATTAATTTTCGGATTACGTGACGCTATGTAAAGTGAATTGTAAATTTTTAATGTGTTTATCTGATAATAATAATAAGTTGAGATTGTGTGAAAGGAAGGATATTACAAATTTAAATGGTGGTGCAAGAAATATGGTGAAAATGGACATTTTGTGAAAAGGAGTGTAAGGAAGGGTACGTGGTTTGCTGAAAGTAGTTTGAGTATAGGTGAAATTTTATTAATTTCTTATTACTTGGTGAATAGACTTCCAGTTGACTACTGGATTTAGGATTTAGAAATTAGCAGTAGTACTGCAGCGACGTAATGAAGATTCTGAAGAAGATTAGGTAAGTTAGTATTTTTAATCATTTGAGGATACAGTCAAAAGTCGTTAATTCGGACACCCATAATCCGGACCTCAAAGCTAAAAACTTTCTGCGCATGCGCCGCGTTGACACATGCACATAGGCGTTTACGCGTGCGCGTAAGACCTCTTACGACTGCGCATTTGCGTGTGCGCAGAATACGTTTTCGCGTGCGCGTTTTATGTATAACGAACGGTATAAGCTAAAATTATCTAATTATCTATTTCAGTTAATGTTGATGATTGCGTTGTTCCTTAATTTTCGAATTGGATCCGGCTTATTATTTTTTGCAGACTGTAAGAGCAATGCTATAAAAGTAAACTTGAACTTTCGATTATGTCAAACAGAATTTCCGAATCTGGAGCTCCCAAAAGATCGTACAAAACGAAAGTATGTTTCGATGTCCATCAAACAAAAAGTGAAATTGCTGCAAAAAATGGATAAAGACATGAAGAATGTGACAGAGAGGTTAGTGAAAACGAAAAAATTTCGATTGACAAGTTAGTCGGTATTCTCGACACAGCAATTATAGGACTTGAACAGCGAAACTTTGTAACTGAACAAAAAATTATGTCTGTTTATAGAATTAAAGAGAAAGTATTATCACATAAAACGAAGCAACTTAAACAACTTACATTGAAAGAAATGTTTAATAAAGTAAACAAATAAATATTAAGCCTTTTTTTTTTTTTTTTTGTAAATTTTGATACCCTTTAGATCATAATTGTTCTTTATTTCATAAATTACGGTTTCATATTTTTAATTTTAGAATTTCTGCATGCCATCTTATGTGATTTAAACTGTTCATCTATAATTCGGAATCGCCGAAGTCCCGACGAGTCCGGATTAACGACTTTTGACTGTATTATTTTTATGCATTGTTCTAAATGTAAGGAGTAAATAAATTAAAATGGTATTATTTGAAAATTGTTATTAGCAATGATTTAGTTTAAAGTAATTAGGATTGTAATCTAATTTTTATTAATTTAATGTATGTGCTTATTTATATTTGAAGTAGTGTTTTTTAATTTAATGATCGTGATTTTGTGAGTTATATGTTTGTAGGATTTTGGAATATGTTTGAGTAGTATACGTTGAGTATTTTCATGCATTTTCGTGAAATTTTTCTAATTTATGAGAGAAAAGCAGTGCACATGGATATAGTGAAGAGTGTGCACAATGCCATTTTTGTGCAATTCTGGTATGTTTTTTTTAAGTAAAAATAAGTCGACGTGTTCATGGTTTAGTGATATTTTAATTAAATGATAGTTATTTTGTGAATTTTATGTTTGTAGGAATTTGGTATACGTTTTAGTTGAAGTAAACGTGCATGGAAATAATTTAAATATTTGACACTAAGTATTTGTAATGTTTGCGGTATGAATTGGTTGGTGATGTTTATAATATAATAGATAATTTAGAGGTAATTGTTTTTAGATATTGTATTTATTTTATACGTGGAAATGTTCATATTTGGAAAGGGTATATACTTTTTCGCGATAAGGTAATTTCATATATGTTCTTTATATCGGGTTTAAAGATTCAGAAAATTGTCATGCATTTTCGTGAAATTTTTCTAATTTATGAGAAAAAAGCAGTGTACATGGATATAGTGAAGAGTGTGCGCAATGCCATTTTAGTGCAATTCTGGGATGTTTTTTTAAGTAAAAATAAGTCAACATGTACATGGTTTATGTGTATGTTTTATTGTGAAAAACGCGTAAGGAGTATGCGATTGTGCACTTTTTCTCAATTTTGCAGTGAATATTTGTCATGATTAAGCAGTTTTGTTACATAAAATTTCTAGTATAAGTGTAATTTGGCTAGTAGATTGTTGGGAAAAGTGTTCAGTAAATAGAAAAAAAAAGAAACATGTCTTTACTTGTTGGTCGCCAAATTTTCGCCAAGAAATCGCTAAGTTACCATAATCCAAAGATCAACCATTTCTTCTTTTATTAAAATGTTGTTTTTAATGTTTTTATAATAAAGATGTACTTTTTAATCACCTGTAGAGATTTATATGTTTTTAGTCCACTAGGGCAGTAATACTCGGTTGCAATCTATCAGTGGGTCAACAGATAACTTTTGGAGAAACACAAAACATTCGGAAGTATACTTTTCTTTACAATTACATATATTTGCTGGTAATTACCAATGAATTCAGAATTATTAGTTAACTGTTGATAGTTATATATGCTTACTTATTACATTATTTTCTCTTAGTAATCTACTTTTTTTTCCCATGTCCACTATATGCATTTGGATTTGGAGGTTAAAAAAGGTATCAGAATGGTACCCTACAAAACAATACAATATTCGGCTAATCTTTATTCTACGGTATCCCTTGGTTTTTTCCTGAAAAAAATCATCAAGGGGTTGTTCGCCAAATCTGGAAGCACACCATATAAAGTAGGTGTTTTGGGAACCCTAATGTTGATAATGTTAGCAAAACTACTGGCTACCATGATGGTTTTAACTTTGTTTTAGCATCCTGACTTTTAAGTGAAAACAGATCAATGTGTATATGGACAAAGTTAAGGCAGTGTGCAATGCAATTTTCTGATGTTTTTCTAAGTGAAAATAGATCAATGTGTACATGGACACAAAGTTTGTTTAAGTCTTTGACTTCTTATTTTGGTTTTGTGTAGTGGTCATTTTGAAATTGTGCCTTCCTAGCACCAATCTTGGCATAATAATAAAAAAAAAACAAAAAAAAAAAAAAAAAAAAAAAACAAACAACGATTCCCAAGGGGTGCCGTACAATAAATTTTCAGCCAGTATTTATACCACACTAATCTTTCTCGGATATATTTATTTAAAATACACTGATATGTAAATGACTAGCCAAACATAACCAAAAAATCATGAAGTTCTCTGCTGTGTGTGAGGAGGGAATTAAAATTACTTTCTGATTACCTGTACTTCCATAGAAAAATTATGAACTCACTGCTGGCTTCTTGGTGACTTCAGAGAAAAACATTTGGGTATCTTTACATTAATTTCAATAATGCATTCAGTGCCACCTATTTTATCTTTTATTCTGATACAAGACATTTAAAAATTTTTGTCACTTTTTTTCGCTTCATAGACACTGTTTTCACCGAAAAAGATATCAGAGAATGCCATTAACTCACTATCGTACATAACTACAGTATCATAAATCTGGAATATGAAGGAAAAAAGAAGCACATGTTGATTATAAGTGAGCCATACTACACTCTGCACAAGCAGAAAACCAAGCCAGAGATTTTCAAAAGCCAAAACAGAAATTGCAGTATGTGGTGCACCACAATGCTAAAATTGTCATGGCAAGGAGCATGTTCTGCAGTCACATTAGTTAAAACGTATACAGAACTGAAAAGTCATCTGCAGGAATGTTAAATACTTACCTCGGATGCCACACAAAAGCTTTAGTATATAACTTAAATTTAGTGTATTACTTTATAAATACTTTTTACGATATTTTCCATGAGGGTGCAGATAATCAGAAATTACTGAAATTATATTTTTATGTAAATACAACATATTATGGCTAATCTCTGGAATATGGTAACAGGTAGTTTGGCGACATTTTGGTAAGGCGATAAGGCCTATTTCGCACCTAATCTTTGTCATGATTAAGCACTTTTGTTCCATAAAAGTTCTAGCATAAGTGTAATTTGGCTAGCAGATTGTTGGAAAAAAATGTTGAGTTAAAAAAAAAAAAAAAAAAAAAAAAAAAAAAAAGCCTTTACTTCGTGAAAAACAAAATGGCGTCCAAAAACTAGCAGGGTTCACTGAAAAATCGCCAAGTTAACATAATCCAAAGATTAACCCATATTATATTCATATATTATACATTATATTTCATGTAAATGAGTTATAATATTCACGTGGTTTGTCCCCTATGTTGCTAATTTTTTTTTTCTCACAGTAAACATATAGTGCTAAAGATTTAGTATATATATCACTTTAATGATTTCTCACCAGTATGCAAAAGCAAATGCAGATTTAAATTGCTTTTATGAGCAAACAACTTGCAACATTTATCACATTCCTGTTGTTTTTCATCAACATTGAAAATCATATGTGCCATTAAGCTATATTTTCAGGAATATAATTTGTTTGATATATCACACTTAGGTGTTTTCTTACCTGTATGAGTATACATATGAACTCTTAGGGCACAGCTCAATGCAAATGACTTGCCACAAACATTACATATATATGGTTTTTCACCAGTGTGCGTACGCATGTGGACATTTAGTCTACCTTTAGTTCCAAAGAGCTTACAACATACTTCACATTTATATGATTTCTCACCAGTATGAGTAAGTATATGCACTTTTAAATTCGTTTTGGTTATAAATGACATATTACACATGTCGCACTTATGTGGCTTTTCACCAGTATGTATGCGCATGTGATTTTTTAAAGAATCACGACGTTTAAATGACTTGCTACAGATGTTACATTTTAATGGTTTCTCAGGAGTATGTATAAGCAAATGCTTCTTGAAATCACTTTTACGTGCAAATGACTTGCAGCATGTCTCACAATTGTATGGCTTCTCGCTGCTGTGAACACGCATGTGCTGAATTAAGTTACCTTTCCGAATAAAAGACATACTGCACACATCACAATTATGAGGCTTTATACCAGTATGGATTTCTGTATGCAAATTTAATCTCACCATCAATGCAAATGACTTGTTACACACATCACACTTATATGGTTTTTCACAACTATGGATAAACATATGTTTGCTTAAGAGACCTTTATGTGCAAATGATCTACTACATATATCACACTTAAATGATTTCTCACCAGTATGAGCAGACATGTGTCTTCGTAGATTAGCTTTATCAAGGAAACACTTCCCGCACACATCACACTTATGCGGCTTTTCCCCAGTATGGGTAAACATATGCGTGTTTAAGTGACTTCTGCGTGCAAATGCCTTGTGACATACATAACAGCGATGTGGTTTCTCACCAGTGTGAATACGCATATGGCTAAATAAGCCACTTTGGAACGAAAATGGCATATTACATGTGCCACATTGATAAGGTTTCATACCAGTATGAGTTACCATATGTCTGTTTAATTGAATTTTTTGTGCAAATAACTTATTACACACATCACACTTATAAGGCTTTTCGCCAGTGTGGATAGACATGTGTTCTTTTAAACTACCACTACGTTTAAATGACCTATAACATACACCACAATTGTATGGTCTTTTGTCAGTGTGACTATGCTTATGGCTACATAAACTACTTTGGGATGCAAATGTCTTACTACATATATCACAGATATAAGGTCTTATGCCAGTGTGGCTTACCATATGTACTTTTAAAGTACCTTTATGTGAAAATAATTTATGGCATATATCACATTGAAGTGATTCTTTATCTGTAGCTACATGTAGATCTGTTTCCATAATTCACTTTCATATATCAAGTTAAAGGAAATGCAATACTTACACTGGGCATAATTTAAAGAAATAATGTGATAAACAAAAGATTCTAACATACACAAAAAAAGGCAGGTCTGTATAGCTTAACTTTAGTTCAAATACATTGGAATATATATTTTATGATAACATGCTATTACGAAAACTACTGGGAGCATGCAGTACATGCAATACATAATTGGCTCATGATAAATGGCTTTATATAAAAATGACTATCAATTTCATATACATTTGTTTGAAACCGCTGTTAAGTGTCTGTTACCTTGAACAAGAAATGTTCAAGGTAATATGTAATTAATACATTTCCTAATTATATGACACTTACACACAAGTTTTCTCAATTTAAATGGTTAATTTCCAAGTTCCATTACATTATGTAAAAAATGAATCAGGCTACATTTTTAATTGAATTTTTTTATCCTAATAACGAAGAACACACTTATCTTTGGAATAATAACTCAGTTATTATCCTAAATATTTCCAGAATTTTATCTGAAGAGAATGAAGTATTTTCTCAGTAGGTTAGTTATGCTGCATTTATTTTGTACATCAAGACTGAAGTTCCAATATCAGCATTTCTCTTTCCCACGAAGAAGCTAACAACCACAGACTCCACAAACATATAAAAACTTCTATTGATATGAGATCTCACATCTGAATATTTGTCTTTATACTGACTTTTAGACTTTTGTTTCTAAAACATAACATATTATTTCATCAAATAATATGCATAAATTCTTTTTGCTGCCAACATAGATCGGTCTGGTATGAGAATGTAGAAATGGAAATCAATACATAGCACAGTCTTATTTTCATGCAATCACGAAAGTCTAAAAAACACAAAATGTTTAGAAAAGGTAAATGTTTTGTTTTGCACCCACTGAGCCTTTTTCCCCGTATGGCAAAACATTTAGCTTATGCAGAGAATTAATGTGGAGGGGAGGTCATAGACCAACCCAGTGGGCGGGGCGCGCGTTATCGACATGTCCGCAAGAAAGCACATAACTGTTTTTAATTATTAAATATGATACGTTGTATAGTGATGAGATTATGAAAGGTCACAATGTTTTTCGAATAGGATTTAATATATCTCATTAAAGTACTTCTTACTACATTTCGCGCATTTTTTTCACGCGTAATTCTTGTTAAAACGGTAAAAAACTCTAAGCACAAAATTCATGAACTTAATTTTGCGTAAAAATAAAGTAAAATTAAATAAGATTGATAGTACGTGATGCTTTGAAATAAATAAGATAAAATTAAACAGGATCTGATAATTTAAAAAAAAATTAAAGAACATTTTCAGGCAGTGATTTTCAAAACTATAATAACATTACAAAACGATCATTTATTTGAATATATCACAATTAAATTATTAGTATTAAAGTGGATTATTTATTTTAGTAATTTATAAAATTCGGAGCATAAAATTTTCTGAGTAAAATGAAGGGAAAAAGAAACATAAAATAAAATCTAGAAGCACTTAGATTTTATATTACGCCCAAAAGGAACCGTTTTTTAACGTTTTGTGCGTTACCTATATTTATTGAATATCATGTTCTTCGCCCGTAAACTGCATACATTTGAAAACAACATATTGTTACGAATTTGGTATTTAAAAAGCTAATGTTAGTTCAATTATAAATTAAATGGTTTTACACAGATCGTATTTTTTTTTTTATTCTCGAGTGTCAAGATGTAGAAACATCTTTTTTCCCGCGCAGTGCAGCGCGTGACGAATATTAAAAGAAGAAAGCTAAGCGGGAAAATTAAAAATACAAGAGCACATGCATTTAACATTAAATAAATAAATATGTCTTTTTGATTTCGAGAAAGTACCAGAAAATTCTCTCACGCGATTTAAAAATCTTAGAAAAGGAGGAAAACCTCTCAGTTTGTAGTAGTTGCTTAGTTTGTTGTTGCTTAGAAAACTGCTCTTGTTGATTGTAGCGAATTCGCGGATTAGCTTTCTTTAGCTGTTTTGAATTACGTTCTATTGGACATTTGAGTAGTTAAAAGATAACTACTGTGAGATACTGAAATACTGCATGATAATTTGAGAAAATTTAAGCATTTTTGTTGTGATAATAATACATTTTTGTTCATTTTTCTTCGGACTTGTGCATTCATTTCGTAACGAACCCGTACGCACGCAACAATATCTTTAAAATTTCCGCACTGGAGATGAAAATGTTATTTTCCGTACAGTGCTACCATTGCTCGCTTTGAACTCGTTGAGTTTGTTAATCAAAAATTCGTTAAAGTTTTACAAAATATGAAATAGATTAAAACAAATTCTAAATTCGGCCGGTCAGATACCCATGTTCGGGTGGAGGATTACATTATTCAAAATTCGATGGCTCTAGATACCGTCGTTTTTGTCACAGTGCGAGAAACATACATATATTCACGCAGATTCTTCATTATTTAATTTCTTTAAATACAACACAGGGAGATAATATTTGGTAACAACAATTTGCAAGGAGACATGGACATTTATAGTGAAACAGCGCAAAATGCCGCTTCGAGCTAATAAATTAAATTAACAGTAAATAAAAAAAATCTTATGCAGAACTAAAAATAAATTTAAAAAATAATCACTATAAAATACAAGCAAAATTAATTATTACGGTTAAATACAATTTTAATATTAGAATTAAATGTATAAAAATTAAGGATTCAAAAGTGTTTATCACTATGATGTATTATGAAATATAATTGAAATAAAATTCCTTTATAGAAATTGTGCTATAATACTCATCTATAATTTTAAAAAAGCAGCACAATTTAGGATTTTAAACAAAACTTTCAAAAATTCATTTTTAAATATTTTAGTATTTTTTACTTATTCACACCAATAAAAAGCATAAAAATTGCAACAGAAAATTGCGTGTTTGAAATTTTCTATTAGTTCCAATTTAGAATATTATTTTCTAAAAGAAGTGGTTACAAATTTTCTTACAGCATAGGAAAAGCTAAAAAAATATCCAACTCTGAAAGCATGCAATAGCTAATTATTTAGGACGTTAATTATGCTTGTTAAATATGCAAAATTTTTAAAATCAATCTCAGTTTCAAAATAAAAATATGGAGAAATTCTAATTTGGGAAATGAGGTGCTACAACCAGCTTTTTCTTGACAATTATACACGCTGCAATAGGCAACCACTGTTAAATTTCTGCAAGTCGTCCCTACTCCTCCGGATGTGATTAAGGTGACAGCCGGGAACGCGTCAAACGAAGGAGAAAACCCGTTTGCGTTGGTTCGTTATTTACTATAATCATCGGATCGGAGATAGAAGATCATCATTCGTTAAGTGGTGTTGGACCCGAAGGCCTTTACCACTACATGTATATCAATCCCCTAAGGACCTGTAAAAGTTCGTTAGATTCTATAAAAATGGAAAAATCCTGTGCACTTGTAATAAAAGTGCAAAGTCTTCAGTAGTGAAAAAGTTGATCAGGCGTGGCGCCATATAGCGGCCACATAAGTCTTCCTTGGATAAGCAATAATAGCAACTAATAACTTTGGCATGTCTTTTCGCAGTGGCATATTGTTACACATCGTAGATTTGACACAGTATCGTACAGTAAAAACAGAAAATAATATATACAAGTCCCAGAAATTTTTGTGCTTTCGTCTGAGGCGAAAGTACCATGTATCTTAATTGTCATAGGAAAGTAGATTGTCACATGATATACGAATTTAATGATGATAAAGTCAGCAGCCTTGGTCCCGGACAAAGTCCATAATAAGATGAAAATGATAATAAAGATGAAACAAAATCTAGATTAAATAGTTGAAAATAATAAAATATATACAAGAACTACCATCTAACATTATGATGTATAGTTCTGGGCCGTTTATGCTGCTGTTCGATTAGATAGTCGTACTCCCCTATGTTTTTAATAACTTCGTCAATGGAGGAATCACATGTTTCGTAGAATTTGAATGTAATCTTTAGTAATTCGGCATCTAATGGTAAAATCTTTAGAGAATTATTGATGACAATGTTCCTAAAATTTATCATCAATGGCATTGGCATCTCTCTCACGTGACTTACATTAGAAGGAGAAAGGAAAGCAACCCACTGCATGACAGCGTAATGATATATATGGTAACGATATATATGGTAATATTTCTTTTTTGTGTAAACTATTTGTTTGTTCGTGTGATAATAAAGTTTATAAAGTTTCGTGCTGTTAAGTGTCTGTTATATGAAATGCCCACATTACGTTCACGTCTAAGTACTAAATATATATCCAGAACCTGCGCAAAAGTATGTACGACACTCTTCAAAACCATTTTTATAATAACCTTTCAGAAATTATTTTTGTAAGATCAGCTTAGATTGGACTATAGTAAAGCCCTTATAAGGTTCCCATGAGAATAGAATCTCGTGGATGATTTTGTAAGTGGAACGTTAAAAGAACCAAAATGAGTTAGTTAACTTATTTGCCAGAAATACAACTAATGCGGAACTAACAATGTTTGAAAACTTCAGTCATTCCATCATATAATTTCACATCAAGAAATATCGCTAACGATGCATGGAAAGTTTAAAATAATTGGCCAAGCTATTATCCTTATCTCAGTATAAAATATGAAGAATGTATAATGAATTTAATGATTTACTGCTTCGATGTCATATCCATCAAAGAATTAAACCAGGTTATATATTGTTTATATGACAATACTAATTACTGCTTATATGCAATTTTAATTATATCCATAGAATATAGTTTTGTCTATGGGATACTCATCTATGTTCTGTAGCAATATCAATATTGAATGCCATACTTAGAAAAGGATTCAGTTCACTGTGCAAAGGGGAATAGTCAAGTACAGAAGTACTTGACTATTCCCCTTTGCACAGTGCTCTCCATTTTCCTTATATTTATAAGGCTTTGTTGTTTGTAAATGAATTTTTTGTCTATTAAAATTTTAGTATTGTAAGTTGCAGTATAAATAAATGCATAAATTTAACTACGTATTTTTTATTACCAAACCTCCACTTAGAAACTTCTTTGCTGTTGCGCTATATTACGTTGCTGTGAACGGATGGGCGGTATAGAAATTTTACTGCCTACAAAGTGGGCAGTAGGTATAGAAAGGTTGACTACCCCTGGGCTGCAGTTTTTACAGAAGCTAAGACCCATATGTTCATGTAAATTTACATTAGCAATTGTATTACGCTATTCAATGCTTATTCACTTTATTATAAATTTAATTAAATTTAAAATTTTTGTTTTCGTTTCGATAGTTGTTAAGTGAGTTTTCTATTTTTCCTTTATATCGGGATTTGTTCGTAAACCGTAATGGTTATCATCACTTGCTCACGATTAAAATATATGATGAGTCAGAAACATAGCTATCCATCTGAAGTATTATTTTAGGAGGAAATGGCCAATGACATGTTACAGTTATTTTTTTTTTTCCTTTAAGACAAGTGTCACAATTTGAAACTTGAATCATTAATTAATAACTTTAAGGGGTGTGAATATATCAACACATCCAAACCACGTTTCGATCTTCCTTGACCATTATCGAACAAAAACCTCCACCGTCCATCGTGAAATTGAAATCAGCCAGTAATGGGCTGTAAGAACCAGGTTGACTATCTCTGCTGTAGACTATTATAATGGAAACCATTCTCGCCAATCAACTATGACAAGAAAAAGTAAATTTCTCAGCTGGCCATATTTCGTATTTATAAACATCATGAAATGATTTGGACCTTGGCTAATGCCAAGTATTAAATTTTCTTATTTCATATTGTTTTTTCTCTTTAATTTTTAATTTCTTACAATATTTACAATTCTGGGTATACTGAAAGAATGTTTACTTGAGTAAGTTTTCAAATTATGTTATTGGTATTCTAATAAAGTTCCATTGCTTTCTTTCTCTCCCCGAGAGAACAGCTGATCCACTGGATTAAGTGTTCTTCAGCTTG